GAATGGAGAATAATATTTCTATGACACGTATGATGCTAGATCGGCCTATTTTTCAAAATGATATCGTTCTCGGAAGTTTGCTCGAACAGTAGCCTCCAGGATCGAAAAGACTTGATAAATAAAGACGATTGTGGTTCGTGTCGTTGATAAGTGTCATTGTACCAGCTTCGAGGCGTTCATTTTGCGGTCGTTCTTCCGGAAGTTTCCGGAAGACACGCGCGGTCCGCGTCTATTTCTGTGACACGATCGTAAATTTCGATAATTTACAAACAATAACCTATTATCGATCCAAGTGAAATCGCCATTAATTAGCTGCTCAACTGTCATTTCTAACACTTTTCTAAGGCAATGATCAGTTTTTCTATTTTATTTCTTTTTTTCATTGAAGGATATGCCAATGAATAATGTATACACTTAATATGCAGTATGAAATGATAGCGTGCAACATAATTAATGATCTTGAAAATAATATTAATTGATATTGGGAAAAAGACAGAATTATTGCAAATTTTTTTATTAAGGGAATAAAATTATTATTCAGTTTGTATTTGTGGAAAGAAATGATTATCATCTGACATGGAAGATAAATAATTTTGTTAAAATAATATTTTTATCTCAAAGTAGAATTTCCCTGTATAAAACAAATTTTTCTTCTTTCAGTTACTGTTAAAAGTGGCTCCGAGCAAAGATCTGAGAGCGAAGCACAAGCCGATGCTGCGTCGTCTCCATCCAGTGTAAGTTGAAAATCTATTTTTAATCAAATTATACTTTATGTACCTAATTTTTTTTTTTTCTGTCAAAATTTCCGAGAGCAGATTGTGTGTTTTTTTTTAAATGATCTACCTTCCATATATTTTGCAGTTAAAAACAGATTGAATGTTTAATAAGATTTGGAAACATTAGCAATTTCTTAAATCTTTTTTATTTGATATAATCATTAATTATGAACTTCAGAATTAACAACATTTAACAATTTCCTTATCTTTATATTCCATTCTATATTTACTATTGTTCTATTACATTCGGTATGATTTATTAATACTTTATTATATATAGCGCTATTATAAAATCATGAGAGCCAACCGGATCTAACAGTTTGCCGATTTTTCAACCGATTTTTCAACCGATTTTTTCAACCGATTTTTCAACCGATTTTCCAACCGATTTTTCAATCCGCAGGTTGAATTGCCAGAAAGCGCGCACTCGTGCCCAGCCTGTTCGGCCGTGTTGCCCACCTCTGGGGACTTGACGAACCACATACATGGCCACAACTCGTCCCGCAGCACCGACTGCAGCGGCGAGGATGAGTACTGCTGCAACATGTGCAACAGGGTGTTCAGCTCTTCCAGTTCCCTCAACAGGCACTTGTCGATGCACACAGGTGCCCGGCCGTACAAGTGCAAGTACTGCGAAATGGCGTTCACCACGAACGGGAACATGAACAGGCACCTGAAAACGGCGCACAGGGGCGCGTCGCCTCACAGCTGCACAGATTCGGAGGCTAGTACCAGCGGCAGTAACAGCAGCGACTCGGAGAAATCCAAGAGGCGACATCTCGAGGAGTACAACAACAACGAAATCACGAAAAGGAACTCGCCGGATTACGTCGAGGGGCAAATGGTGGCGGTAGAGGTAGAGGAAGAGGAGGAGGAGGAGGAGGAGGAGCCGTTGTCTTTACCCGCGAAGCGCAAGTGTACGTACTCGAGCGACAACGAGACGCAGAAGAGGCACAAGATCCTTTTGAACAGCTCGAGGACGGAAATGAAGCCGAGACCGGATGACAGTCAGAACATCTGCACTTGTCCGGTGTGCGGCAGACAGGACTTTGGCAGTAGCGCCCTCTTGGAAGCGCATCTGGAACGAAACCATCCGGAGTTCCCCGCGAAATGCGACAGTTGCAACCTGTCGTTCAAAAACCACCGGGTGTTGAATCTGCATCGGTTCATGATACACTTCGCGGAACACCCGGTGGGGAATACGACGAGGAACCTGCGAAACTCCGTGGTCGGTTTCAACGATTTGACGTTCGTCGACTTCTCGTCGGGCAAATTCCCAGCGATAGCCAGAGCCGTCTGCGAGCAGTCGCTTCACCGGCCGGCTTCCGGCGAGGTGGCTAAGTTCCAATGCTCCAAGTGTCTGCGAGCGTTCCCTTGCAGATCGGCGTTGGACGCCCACGAGAGCGACTGCGGCACCACGAACTCTCGGAGCAGAACGAACGACGGCCAGTCGAGAAGGGACGACTTCTTCGCCGGCCTGGACCTGCAGAACAAGGCCGCTCTGACGGAGGCCAAAGAAGGGAAAGACCTCGCCGACATACAGAGCATCATATCCGTCACTTCTGGCCCGATATTGCAAAATTTCCCACGGTCAGACGCGAGCACGCCCGACAACGTGAAGTTCAATCCGGGCGCGAGTTCTTCTGGCTCGTCTGGCACATACTCCTCGGAGTACCACGAGGAAGAGGCGCAGGATGCGTTCGCCGCGGAGTTCAGAAGGATGAAATTGAAGGGGGAGTTCCCTTGCAGACTCTGTTCCGCGATATTCCCGAACCTGAGGGCTTTGAAGGGCCACAACAGAGCGCACATGGGCGTGGGACCAGGCATGCCTTACCCGTGCAACATGTGCCCTTACACCAGCACCGACAAGGCAACGTTGGTGAGGCACTTGAGGTCCCACAACGGCGACAGACCGTACGAATGCTCCCTTTGCAACTACGCGTTCACGACCAAGGCGAATTGCGAACGCCACGTGCGCAACCGCCACGGGAAATTGACCCGCGAGGACATCAAGAGCGTCCTCATATACCACCCGAACGAGGACTCGACGAACGAGAACGTGGGACGAACCTCGCCGAGAGTCATGAAGGACGAAGTGAGGAAAAGCTTGGTTTTCTCAGCCGAACGAAGCGAGCTTCATCACCAGGCGCAGGTGCACTATCCTCCACCAGTCAGGGGAGAAATCAGAATAATAGAGGAAGCGAAACTGCACAACGCTACGATCGGAGCACACCATGGTGCGAACCACTGCGACAAGAGCGAGGCATTCTCGAGGCTCGGCCCGCCTATGGCCGAGATGATCCATCGCGGCGACGATGGAAAGCCCGGCCAGGATGCCAAGTCGGACTACTCTACGAAGTTAGATGACGACTTAGAATCGAGATCGTCCGAAGGTAGCGTGTCTCTAGTCACCGAAACGAAGTCAGAACCGCACCAAAGAGTACAATCTAGTCCAATGAATTTGAAGAAAATTCTGAACCTGTCTGAGACCTCCGGCGAGGACGGGCCGCTGGACCTGTCCATGGACGTGCTGGATCTCAGCAAGAAGTCGAGGAACAAGAACGAGAACGACTTCGCTGCGTCGCACGAGCAGCAGTACGGTAAAAACCAGAAGGAACTGTACAACGCTGCCAGCCACTTGTTCCTGACGGAGGCGTTCTTAAAGGCTGGCCAGAGTAGCTCTCAGCCGACCTCCCTCGAAGCCCTGTACGCCAACGCCATTTACAGAAACTTCGGCACGTATCCAACCGGCGTTGGCGCTGGCATTTTGCCGCCGTATATGTTCAATCCTCACATATTCGGCCAGGACTTCGCCATGAAGGACAGGTTGGAGAAAGACTTGGTCAGAGGTCTGCAACTGACCAGCGGAGGCACTTTGGTGGAACCGTCGACCAGCAGCGCAGGGTTCAGCGCATATTCCCAGAACAGAGACATGAATCCTCAGTCAGCCGACGCTCAGAGCGAGTACGCGAAGCTGATATCTTCCAAGATGGTAACGAGTAAGGGCGTGACGAGCCGCGACAAGCCGGACAACATGTCGTCGTCCAACTCGGTGAAAATGGTGATCAAGAACGGGGTGCTGATGCCTAAGCAGAAGCAACGAAGGTACAGGACCGAGAGGCCTTTCTCTTGTGAGCATTGCTCGGCGAGGTTCACGTTGAGGAGCAACATGGAGAGACATATTAAACAGCAGCATCCTCAACATTGGAGCCAAAGACCGAGGGGCGGTCACTCAACGAGAGGAAGACCTCCTACCAATCACCCTACGTTGCTGCAGAACCTTGGACAGCCGGCACCTCAGGTTCCTCAATCGTACGTGAACATTCTGCCAAAAAGCGAAGAACCGGCAGAATTAACAAGACACTCCATTTCAGACCAGGTAAAATACGCGATCCTGACGCAGAAACTCAGGGCGAACAAGATCGAGGACAACGACTCTGAGGAAGAGTTAGTGATAGACGAAGGTCCACAAGAGAAAGAGTGTCAAGAATCTCAGGACCAGAAGGAGAAGAGCCTGTTGAGGGGGCAGTTGGAGGGAGGAGAATCCGCGAAGGACGCTGCGGCGAAGGAGTCGTCGAGTCGAACCGACTCGAACGAGACTGAGCCCGAGAAAGAAGCGGACACGAAGGAAGAGACGACGAATATGGAGGGCCCTGCTGAACCCGACGAAAGATCAGCTGACAAGGCGGATCCTGGCAAAGCGTACAGAACGGGACCGGTCGAGGTGAAGAGCGAGAAAACGGAAGACGAAAACACCGACCTGGCTAGCGTCTCGGAATTATTGGACAACGCGTGCCAACAGTATCAGGAGTTTCAGCCGCAATATCTGAGCGACGAGGAAGGGCTGGTGGCGTCGAACAGCGAATGCCATAATTCGGGCAGCGACGAGAAGTCCGACTCGGTGAACTCGGCGAACTCGACGACCGCTTCGTCGAAGAAAAAAAAAAAAAAAAAGAAAAAGAAATCCGCGTATTCGATGGCGCCGAACAAAGTGATCTGCCCGTACTGTCAACGACCGTTTCCTTGGACGTCGTCCCTGAGGAGACATATTCTCACCCACACGGGACAGAAGCCCTACCAATGCACTCATTGCTCGCTTCTGTTCACGACCAAGTCGAACTGCGACCGTCACCTGCTGAGGAAGCACAAGACAAACCCTAACAAAGTCCACAGAGCGAGAAACTCCTCTTCTCCGGATTCCCAGCCAACGATCAATAGCAACAACTCGTTCTCCACGAGGAACGTGCCGGAAAGGCCGTACAAGTGCAATCAGTGTCCCAGCTCGACGTTCTCGACGTTGGGCAACCTGAAGAAACACCGTTCGACCAAGCATGCTCGGAAATTGAAGTCGCGGTCGGACACACCGTCCAGCGAACCTCAGAACAGTCCTCCGGAATGTCCGAAGCAGAACAACGAGCAAACGGACTACGACAGCCAGTCTTCGAGCGTGTCCGAGGGCGTAGAGCCATCCTCCGTAACGGCGATTCCCAAGTCGAACTCCAACACGTCCTCGACCAACGACACGGCCAGGTCGAGAAGATCCTCGCCGCGAACGTCGCCCGGACCTAGCGACGTGCCGTTCAAATGCCACCTATGCGACTGCGGCTTCGCGGAACGCCAAGATTGCCTGGAACATATTAAGGCGAATCACAAAAGGTCGTACGAGATGCTAGTGGCGAAAGGAGCGTTGGACATGGACATCGACGCGATGGAAGAGCAACAACAACCACCGCCGCAACACCAGACCAGCGACGGTGAAGAGAAACGAGGACGTTTCCCGGACTACAGCAACAGGAAGGTAAGAACGTTTCTATACTCTTGTTTGATATACTCGTACAAAGGAGAGTAAGAAGAACAGCCTTGTAACCGAGCGACCGATTTAAACACTATTTCTAACGCTATTTCTAACACAGGTGGTCTGCGCTTTCTGCATGAGGCGGTTCTGGTCCGCGGAGGATCTCCGACGTCACATGAGGACGCACACCGGCGAACGGCCGTTCTCCTGCGACATTTGCTGTAGGAGATTCACGCTGAAGCACAGCATGTTGCGGCACAGGAAGAAGCACGAGTCCATTGACTCGACGATGTACGTCGGCACGAGTGGCGACGAGGAGAACTCACCGTCGCAACCATCCACCATGGTCGCAACGCATGGTCAGCAACAACAGTTGCTGCTAACGACGAACAACGGAAATCCTCACATTCAGGATAGAATCGCGACTCACTTGCCGAGCGCCGCTCCAATCGCAGCCAGCGACGCGGCACCGAGCGGATTAATCAGGTTCAATCCATACGAGAAATTGACGACGTTATCCGGGAAACTGGCCGGTATCCCGCCAAATGTGAACTCGGAGGTGGAGAGCACGGACAACGACTTGATTTCAAACTTACTGGGGATAGGAGACAAGAGTTTCATCGACAAAGTACTGCAGGCATCGCCCGACGATGCTGCCAAATTGTTGGGAGTAAATCACAGCCACGAGTGAAATAAACTCACACGTTTCATTATTTTATTTCTTTTCCTGGACATTTCACGATCGTGCCTTAGGTTCTTCGAACTGATCTTCGCGTCGTAGAGTTAGTGCCAGTAGGTACTTAGTTGCTAAGGTGAGCGAAAGTAACTGTGATCAGTTGTCGAGTTATATTTCAATTTTTCATCAGCGTATTCTTCCTCTCCGTTCAAGGACTGAAAGAATTCGTCGATTTTCACTGTACAGACTCGTAGTACTCTATTTGACTAACGTGAACGTTAGCAAGCGAAAAAATTTCAAATCATAACGAATCTTCGATTTTTTCCTTGTACGAACAACACCAAACGCAATTAAATACCTACTTGCACTGCCTACTTGTTTTTCTTTTTTTCTTCTCTTTTTAAAGTACCACGCAAACTCTCCGCGTATCTCTTTTTGTACATAGAACCACGCGTACGTGCGAAACACGTATTGTTTCTAGTAAGCTTACAGGGGTGAACCTTGCCAATATGAGATCCTCATGGAAACAAAAGGATGACGATTCTTACGTGCCACGATCGAAAAATTGGGAAGAAGAACGTCACGATAAATCGGGCCGAACCAAAATCCAAAGATGCATTTTAGACAACGAATTAAGTTAGCCATATGAATACCTACTTCTATTTATTGTTCGTTATATATTTAAAAGCGGAGCTTTCCTCGCTACGATATGTGGATATGGGCTTTGGATACTGTTTCGAGAAGCACCAGTTCTCTACTGGACACGAGATTTTGAGGGGCGTAAAAATGTTAGTTTCCGGTTTTTATTTATTAGTTTCGCAGATACTAAGAAGGAAGGAAACTTTCGCATAGAAATTGCTCGATAAACGTCTGTATAGTATTTTACGAATTCTCACGAAAGAATTTTTCCATTGAACCATCTCTCGGAAGTCAATAAATATCCAAAAGATTTCTCCAACCCCTCAAGATTTCACGTCGCATCTTGGAACAACTGGTGCTTCTCAGAATTACAGCCCTATCTTTTGACGAGGAAAAGAAGTCTCGAAGAAACGTGAGTCGAAGCATGCCGAACGAAATTGGGCAGCCGCGTTCGATTTATTGATCCGAATTGCGGAGCTCAGTCGGTAATGTAATGTAAATGTAGGAAAGAAAGTTTATCGTAATTATATAAATATATAAGTATTTGTATATACTAAACTTTCTTTTCTATTCTTTCCTGTGTGTGTGTGTATGTGTGTGTGTATATATATATAATCGATTAATATTATATATATATATATACATACATATGTGTGTAATAATTGATTTCTATTTCGTCAGGTTGCTGTATATATGTAGATAGTCCAATTAAACACTCTGGTGTAGTCGTATATAGTCCACGTTTAACGAAGTCTCCTAGAAAACGAGGGAACGATATTTAAGAGAAAAATGTAATCATACCAAATAGTCGGCTGCGTTTCCGACATCGACCCACTGGATCTCTCGCCAGTGAACAACACCGAGAATACGGATGCGAGCCGACCGATGAAAATATTTGTATCTTGTAATCGAACATACCTTTCTTTTTCTCCCGCTTCTATTCTTCTTTCTCCGATTCGATGTATTTCCGTTCTTACTTTCCGTCGTTCGTAATGTGATGTATTATTATTCCCTCTCTGGCCTCTGTCCTTTCCTGACCTTTCCTCGATTTTGTCTCGCGTCTCTCCTTCGTTCTCCCTCCTTTTTAAAACTCACTGTATTTATTCTTCTTTTAACGAGATAAGGCTACGTGCGGATCGACGTGTGTGCTCGTTGAACGTTGCGATTTCACT